CACAGATTTTGACCATCTTCTTTACACTTGATGTGTATTAAAGATGGGTATTAAAGCCCACTACATCAAAAACTAATGATGTAATGTATGGTGATTAACGTAACATAATAAATTAAAATTTCGAAAAATAATGAGAGAAATCATTCATAATACTTGAGTATGGAAGGTCAATTTAAATATGACACAAAACCCCAGAAAACGTTGTTGAATTTTGACTACATAAAAAAACTTCCTAGCCAAACAAAACAAAACACTATATACAAAAGGCAAAATATAAAAGACAACAGAATATATACACATGCATGTTAGCATATACACTGAATATCATTTAAAGATTATACACTAGAATCTACAGAGGTACGGGGTAGAAGAATGAAGGACAAAGTTGGGGAAAAAACCTTCATTTTTTCTGTATACTCTGTGTCTTTAGAATTTTGAATCTATGCACATTTTACTTCCCCAAAGTACATATAATTAAAACATGTAATTAACGATCATTCACAATGATTTATTTGTTGTATTAGTAACTATTTCTTGATTCTTAAAAATTTAAATATAAAAGATGACAAAAGCATTGCCCTCTAAGGAGAGTGTAGCCCTATTGAAGAGAATATGCATAGGTTAAGTCTGCCTTTTCTGTCTCAGGTCACAATCCTGGAGTCCAGGGGTGGAGCCCTGCATTGAGCTCCCTACTCAGCAGGTAGTCCACTTCTCCCTCTGCCCCTCACCCCGCTTGTGCTCTCTCTCTCTCAAATAAATAATAAAATCTTTTTTTAAAATTCCAGATTAAATAAATATTTAAATATAAATAAGTTGTTCTCTTAAGAGCTCTGGAGTCCATCTGCCTGGGTTTAAATCCTATTTCTACAATCCACGAGGTATGTCACTCCGTACAAGTCACTTAACCTCTCTCAGTTTCAGTATCTGTGTTGATAAAGTAGAAATCATATTTATAATATAATGCCTACTTCATAAGATTGTTACCAGGATTCAATGAAATAATGTGCTGAGCACATTGCCTGATTTATAGAAAGTGTTAAGTAAATGCTTATAAGGATTATGAATTACCAAATGTTTTCAAGTGAAAATTGGAACTTGTAAAAATAAGTACTTCATTTCATAAAATTCTAAGATTGACCATTATTGGTAGATTTGGCTCATGGGGAGCAAGCTTTGTTATTCAGGCTATAGAAAGTTTTCTTTAATAAATGACCTATTGTAACTAACCACAGTTTAATTCTGTAATGCTCCCCGAAGAAGAAAGCATCTGGTTGTCTAATTTAGGTGGAAATTCCACCAAAATTAATTCCACCATTCCAAGATGAAATGCTAAATGGAACTGGACTGCACGCCTTGTGAGAAGGTGTACTTCCTATTAGTACGAGAGTTCATGCAGAATGTGTTCTGACAGAGCATGTTGTCACAGTGGTTCTCTTTGCTGAAGACCATTAAGTGTTGCTTTGTTGAATTTAAGGTAACAATTCATTACTTTGTTTTAAATTTTATATTTATACACACACACACACATATAAAATCTCGTAAGCATAAGGTTGATAGACACTTAAATTGAGGAAATTGGACATTCTATCACATCTAATTTTTTTAAGTAGGGCTCCACTCTGGGTGTGGAGCCTAACGTGGGGCTTTCGAATTCACTACCCTGAGATCAAGACTTGAGCTGAAATCAAGAGTCAGACTTAACCGACTGAGCCTTGTATCATATCCAACTTGAGAAGTATAGTACTTGTATTTTTGGCTTTTACTGACTTGCATTAGACCTGAAATGCATAATCATACTTTTAGAGAAAAGGCTTGCTTTTTGCCACAATCTCAATCAGAATTTTATTAGATAAGATGCTCTTTGAGAGAAAATGACCAACAGTGATTTAGTA